TTTTATAAGATAAGCTGGTGGTAGATCTTTATTACAAAGGATATTACAGAGGGTTAACTACTAGCTACACCCTTCTTCCCATCTGGGGTATGACATAAATCTTCTTTGGGCTGAGTGGTGTGGTGGTGGTGTGTTAAGAGAGGGAGACTGTATATGCAGGCTGTGCTGGAACAGTCTGCAGGTCTGTGCAGACCCTAAGGACTGTTCACATCATGGCATTGTGTTAAATGCACGATACCTTGCATTTAATGGCCAGCGCAGCTAGCGTGTGGGACCGTAAACTAGGTGCATTGCCATTCATTTGAATGCCACCCCAATGTACCTCCAGCCATTGATGCAGTGCATGCACTACTTTTTTCACAGCACTACAACACAACAATGGAGATGAGTTGAGCTGCCGTTCCAATGAATGGAAAAGCAATTCACCTAGCACACGGTACTTGTTTGAAGCTGACCCCTACAACATATACAAATACACACACACACACACACACACACACACACACACACACACACACACAATAATATATAGTCTGTGTCTGTCTGGGAGATTTTTCCTTGCTATCGAATATACTTTAGTCAGTACAGTTAGTTGGTGTTATGTTGGTCTATTTTCTTGATGTCGGGACAGGATGCAAGGGAAGAATCAACCAAATTGGGGACACAGCAATGAGAACATATTTTGTAGTTAAGTGAGGAAGGTTTAAAATGTTAATTTGGTGATTCCATGGGCTTAGGTGCAGGTCTGACTCATTCTAAATATGATCTGGATAACATTAAATAAGGGTTGGTAGTTTATTATACAGTAACTGTTTACTTTAGTGTCCACTTTCTATTAAAAGGAGAACTATGGGGTTAAGGCTTTTCCCCATAGTTCTCCTTAGGGTAACGGGAGGACACAAACTAGCTGTAGCTCGCGGTATAGTAAGACGCCGCAGCTGAAGCGGATACCGACAATTATGTCTGGATCCGCCCAGCTGCGTGACTGACAGCTGGCTTTGCCTATCTAGAGGCAGAGCCAGCTGTACCCGCCCCTTCCCCGTCCGTTCCGCCAGTCAGCGCTGGCGAATCGGAGCAAGGAGGGGGGAATCCAGCCCCTCCCCTGTCACGGCAGAGAGCCGTGACAGGATCGAGAGGTGAGCGAACGCCGGTATGTGTTCGCTCACCTCCCGATCTACTAAGCCGACCTGTGACAAGTGAAAAGCACTCACCTCATAGTTCTCCTTTAAGTATTATGAAACCTCTAAAAGTTACAGCCCAACTAAACTTTGTTTAAGTTAGGTAAATATATGCCAGGTGCATCAAAATTAAAGGTGTTCAAATCTTATAGTCCATTTTGTTTAGAAAGCACCTCCAGCAGCTCCTGTGTGGGATGTTTGATTTCTATGTGGAAGCAGTGTTCTCTCTGCAGAGGTCTGACAGACCTATAGCTCTGCAATCAGCAAAGTTTAGGTTCCCTGGTGTTTGGAAAGCACTAGCTCTGATATAGCATTAGGCAAGCTGGACCTCTCTAGAGAGTCTACTGCTGCCACACAGAGAGCAAGGACCCTTCTCTGCAGCATGCTGACAGGGGACATTTTCTACTCAAGCTTTAGCTTCTTATAAAGAATATTAGGATGTATACTGAAAGTTAGATTTGGGTTTACATTCCATTTAAATAAAGATAGCCACACAGTGGTGTTTATAGTAATATTTTATTAATACGGCAGATTTGGACAATGGTAAACTAAAATATTGCAGTAACAGGATAGAACCTACTCATTTTACCTTCCTCATATTTTATCAGCTCCCATCTTTCTTTAAAACCACTTCATCTGCATCACTGGTAAAGGATTTTTTTCACAGTTACATGCTAATGGCAGTTCAATATCCCTGTAACCCAAACAGATTCCTTTGAAAGCACCCTGCATTTTACACAGAAATAAAACCTATTCTGTTTGTAAAAATGTTTTCTTTGAGGTAGTGTAAAAACAATACTTAAAGTAAACAATCCTGATTAAAAGGTACTACTATAAATATAAAGGCCCGCGGGCCAGAACCAGCCCGCAACAGAATTATCTCTGGCCCCCCCCTGATGATAATTATCATTAGATCTGGCCCTGCCCGACGGCCGCTCTCTCACGCTGCCCACGGCGATCTTCATGGGACTGAGGAGCCGGAGAGCTGCCGCCGGCCAGAGGACTGCATTACCCAGCAGGGCAGCAGCACAGCGTGACAAGGGAGGTGTGGCCGTGAGGTGACTGAGAGGGGTCCCGAGGTCCAGTCCAGATGACGTGAGCATGCCCCCAACATACTTTTTTTTTTTTTTTTTTTTTTC